CCACCCCTTTACAATCATTCATTCATCCACTCCTGCTCAACTTTTCCAAACGCGCAACAGTATAGTCTTCCCACGGCGGCGGCCCGAGTGTGGTCATGTGGGATTTGTCGTAGATAAAGTGGCGAGTACTTCGGTTTTCCCTGCCAATCTTCACTCCACCAACTGCTCCACAATCACCATCATCTATCATCTGGGGCTAGTACAATAGGCCAGTAGTGGCCGCAGTACCAAGTGGACTCAGTCTCATCCCACTAATAATAACACAACAATTCAAAATCGGACAGTACGAAAAATACAGGCTACATAATGACATGAAAAAGAAGAAAAAAAAGCATGCTTAGGAAGCTTGCATCCCTAATGAACATCTAATTAATTTCTGAGAGTAAAAATCAGTTTTCGAATTCATGGAAATGGACCGTTACAAAAGGCATAATTAATCATTTTAAATGCTTTGTTTATGTGTTGCTTCATGCAGAATAAAAACCCCGTTGTAAGGACTCAATGCGCTGTTTTCTGTTTTTGTTTGAATACTTCAGTGTCAAATTAAAATCCCTAATTACCTAACTACTAAGGCGGAAGTATCAAGTTTGTTAAATGAGCTGGTAATGTTACACTACCTGCCAAATTAACAGGTTACAATGTTAGTTAGCAGGTGGATAGCAGCTGAATAACTCAGAAGCAGCGGATTATATGACTTCTAATTGGATACCTTCAATAAGATTCTTCCTCACAGGAATAATAACACACATTTATCCTAAAAATAATACTTATTTGTCTTCATTAAAACACCTAACTTCAATAAAATAAAAACATTTAGAAAGACAGCTACATTCATACTGAGATAAAACCGACGGAAAAACAATATAAACTAAACAATGCTGTTGTCTAGAGGAAATATTTCTTGCAAAGCAAATTTTGTCAGTAACAACGAACCTCTACTTTAATTCAACAAAGCAACATAATGGTTCTGTCTATGAATGTATGAGGGGCAGGCCTTCTCGGCCCTTGCACCGCGATCACAGTGGTCTATTGTGCTTCATGGTTCTGTCTACCTTACCACTCAACAATAGAGTGATAAATATTTCACTCAAAACTTCATCAGCTATAACAGTCCGTATGTCAATCAAGTGCGTCTTACCCATAAGATAAATACTGATGACAGATATTTCACAAATTTTACTGTTAGGTTCTACTTCGAAATTACCAACACACGCCCTATTTTTCTGATGTCCATTCTGTAATTTTCCCAAACATTACGTTGAATTACTTCAAATGCAAGAACTCGGAGGAATCTTCGAGACAATCAATTCCAATCTCGAACTTCATGAGAAACAAATGAAGTGTCAGGCGGTCAAGAAATTCCTCAATTCTTATGGAACCAGGATAGATAGATCTGTTTCAGATCTATCTATCCTGGTTCCACGCTTGTAAGTGTTTGCTACAATTTGTTATGAATATTTTTCTTATTAGCTCTCATGGACTTAGCCTGGTCTCAGGTGTTTATAATCTTCATGTTTTGTGACATTGGTTTGTCCAGTGATTGAGGCTAGCTCTTTCTAAGGGACCCAAATGAATAGGTGTTTTCCTTCACCTGAGGACGGAAACAGATCCAGTTTCCGAAACGTGGTGTTTTTATTTGTTATCTTAAAAACCAGGACGATGGATAAAGTCCAAAATCCCAACACATCAGATTGTCATTAATATATATTTAAAAGTTTAAAAGTATTTTATTCATAATTTTACTTAATAAATTATATATCTCTGCGGGCTAGTAGTCAGAGTTCCGGGATACAGATCCAGAGGTTAGGTTCGATTCACGGCGTGCCAGACTTTTTGAGAAGTAGTGGTTCTGGAACGGGGTCCACTCAGCCTCGTGAGGATAACTGAGGAACTATTTCAATAAAGTAGCGGCTCTGATCTAGAAAACCCGAGATTAACGGCCGTGGGGATCCGTTGCGCGTATTACGTGACACCTTCTAACCGCAGAAGTTCCACTAACTTTGCCGACAAGCGGCGGTCGCTCGGTCGGTATAGTTCGCTTGCGGACTATAGGCCACGGAGCTTGATTGTTTTTGTTTTACATAACCTCTACTAACTTCAAATAATGTTGTTTGCTTCGCAATGTGTTGTGGTCTCTGTCACCATGCAAAAAGTTTGAGTTGATATGAATGTACACGTCACAAAACTTGAAAATTTAATGTTGTGGTTAATGTTTATCAGATTTCACAATTGAAAGGAAACTCAGACTTAATTAGAATTGCAGATTGCCAATTTTGAGATAATGTGTAACGGAAAACAAGAGTAGGTTTACAGTACATGTACGTAAATAACGATCCTAATTAATTCCCCATTGTTTTTATTCTGAACTGGAAACTAAAACATTTACGTGTCTGCAATTGTGAAAGTTCTCTCTATGAATGTTTCTACAAACACTACAACTGTTATGAAACCTGGATTTTATTCATGCGGATTCTATATGAATATGAATGAATGCAGTGTTGATACAGAAACACAGATCGACTACCATCACTAAAATTAACCCGTCTATATTTAACAGAAGCCAGTGTATCATATTTTCACATTGGAGGCTAAACTTAGAGGTTTAACTTTCGTTGCTGAATGTTGCTTTTTGAACACCAGTTTCTTAAAACTCTCACTAGGCGGAGCTAAGTAGGTCGTATAGTTTGGTAGATACGAAGGGGTACCCAAAAGAAACCGAACTTATTTGTTTTAAACTTATTTATTCAAGTTTTAAGCACAAACCTTCAATCCCCTTCAAAGTACTCTCCACTTACACGAATACACTTGTCTAGTCTTTTATTCCATTTTCAAAACATTGTTTAAATTCATCTTTTGAGATGCTTGACAGCGCCTCCGTCCTTTTTTCCTTTCATGTCTCTTTTCATTCGAGGAAACAAAAAAAAAGTCGCACGGGGCAAGGTCGGGTGAGTATGGAGAGTGAGGAACAGGGGTCATACCATTTTTGGTCAAGAATTGTCGTACAGACAGGGCTGTGTGAGCAGGGGCATTGTCATGATGGAAAAACCAGTCACCCGACTGCCACAAATCTGGCCGATGAGCTCCAAGTCACTCCCGACAGCTCCACAATTTCTTCAATGGCCCGTCGTCGATCTTCCTTGATGATTTCACGATTTTTTTCAACATTTTCATGTGTTCGGGCCGTGGAAGGACGACCAGAACGAGGTTTGTCATCAACTGATATTTCACCATATTTGAAACGGGAAAACCACCCAAACACTCGAGTTTTCCCCATAGCATCGTCCTTGTACGCCGTTTTTAACATTTCAAGAGTTTATGTTCCACTTTTCCCGAGCAAAAAAGCAGAATTTCACAGCCGCACGCTGTTCACGAAAATCAGCCATTGCAAAAACGACGATCACACAAAACAGTTGTCACTATAAACTCTGACGAAACTAGTCCTTACCTTCTAAAGCAACGGTAGTCGGCTAATCGACTCAGGAATGTTAGCTCTATGCGCTCATAGCGGCAAAACGCGATACTACAAAAGCTCTGCCCACAAAAAAATTAGTTCCGTTTCTTTTGGGTACCCCATCGTATTAACGTCTCAAAGGAACACGCTGTTTATATCAACTCTAAAAATGGGGACAAGAGACCCCAACGGAATATTGGTATCTGCCAAACTAAACGGCGTTGTATCAAAGCAGATAGTGATCATATTATTCGCTTCCTCGAGAAATCAGATGACAAAGTGCTTCCATCTTCAGGATAGTAGCAAGCAGCAAACAGGGTTCTGCTTGCTTGTTACGTGTTGCTTACGTGGCTTATTTGTTGACCCTGGAAATGTTTTTACTATGTTCCTCCGAAATGTCCGAAAACTTCTAGCTTGACTACATGGTGTAACATCCCGGAAGATCGTGTTCTTAACTTTGATACCTTAATGAAGATATTGAAGTATAAGAAGGTGACATGGAAATAAAACTTCGAAGGCGACAAAAATTTTAATGTCATCGATTGCATATGTTTTTGCAGTTTCGTCTTTGTGTTGGCGTATAATTCAATTAATTGCAGTTAAATCATCTGTTTATTTACGTGCTTACTCAGCAGTCCAATGGCCAATTATGAACAGGCAGGTATATAATGGAAACAAGCAAAAAGAACATACGCATACAATGGGACAAAGAGAAAACAAGGCAACTTTTTGTAAATTAAAAAATAATAAAATTTTAATAATTACAATCGCACCCGCAATTACATGATTAGAAAAATATATACATACTTTTATACTGAGCAAAATTAATGTGTTATTAAGAAGAAAGAATCACTATAAAACATGATTCCGAAAAATATTTTGATTCCAAATATGTCAAAATCCCTGCAAATATTATCAGCTGAAGTGCATTTAGTAAAGGGACAATTTTTACTTCAGGAGCAGAACTAAACAAAGTTAAGTCTCTGATATGACGTGCAGTCGAAGATCAATGATTTCCAATAGCGGAGATCAGAATTAAAATGAGGGTGTACGTGATAAAGGAGGAGCGTATCGACGTGGAGTGTGCCCTTTCATGAGGGGCGCAATTTTAAATGCACTAAAGCATAAACGTAACTCTAATGGACATGGGGAAAGATACGATTAAATCAAAGAGCTTCAAACTTCTGCTGGATTCGTCCCAGTCCGTTGGTCACAGTAGACAAAATAGAGTTCCAAACAACAGAGGCAAATTCAAGCTTAGACTTAATGAGGGTGAACTGTAATAGTAAGCATTCAAAGGACGGGAGGGGGAAGGTTAGGCCGCGAACTAGAACCATAAAATTAATGTATTGTGAAAATGTAGACCTGACGTGAATATGGAAATAAATTTTAGAGGAGAAACACATAAGAGGTTTTAAGAAAGTCACATTATAATTAAACTGTACTCAACCACTAAATAATATTTTACATAACAAATTAGAAAAATTCCGTTCGAGTTTTAACGGAAATTACTCTAATGACCTAAATGAAGGAACGTGTATTTACTCACCGTTCCGAAGGGCGAGAGGCCGCCGATGTGGGGAAGGTGACCTGGCTCGTCCGCTATTGAGCAGTCTGCCCTAACAGAGAGCAACAATCAGCTGACCAGTAACAATACGTGCAGCAGAATTACCAATTTCACAAAATATACCAGAGTTCCATGAAATGTTATTTATTTTGTGTTGAATATAAAAAGAGGTAAAACTAGTCAGGTTTATTACCCTTCTTGTGAAGTGATACAATAATAAACTCCTTCCACTGATCAGGCAAATCTTCCTTATTCTTAATAGAATTAATTACCTTATGGATCTTAGAACGTAGTATTTCACATCCTGCTTAAATTAATTTTGCCAGAATTTGATCACTACCTAGCGATTATATCTTTCCAACTTTGCAATAGAAATTTCAAACTCAAAAGGGCTAAGATCAAGTACTAACGGCTCAGCTGTGTGTATTTATATCTGCCTAACAGCACAGCCTACGTACATTCAATAACTGAGAGAAGTAGTTCTTACGCCCATTAAGAATGCTGTGGGAACTGCAAGCAGATCACCGTTCTCATCCTTCACTAAGTTACTGCTAGCCTGATAACCCTTCTTAAAGTCATTTATTCCTCTATACAGGTCTCTAATGTTCTTGTTCTTACTGTTCATTGCAAGCTCATCAATTTTGTCTTTCAGATATTCCATCTTTCTATTCTTGAAATGCCTGGGGTGGCTTCACGTGTTATACTCTTCACATTATCCCCATTTAACTCGTTTGGATCCTGTAGCAACCGCAGTTTATGTAATAACTTGGAACATCTTTCATCGAGTCATGGTCTATGCTTCTTCAGTTTATAATAACCTAGACAATCTTTGGCTTAAATTTTTATATTCTCTGTGATAGTTTCCCAAGCTCTATTAATATCTTCCTCAGCGTCTAAGATTTCCAAAGCTGCGAACCTATTTGAGATTTCAACATGATTTCACCCTCTACCTCGTTCAATTTCTTGAGACTGAATCTCTGCATATGAAATCTGTGCGTTGTCTTTTTGAAGCAGAATGCTACAATATATTATTTATGGAACCGAAATGCCTCTTTTCAATATTAACAAGAATGACTGAAACGATTCGACAAGCATACAAAGAGGCTCATGTATGTTCTAATGAGAATTACTCTGAAAATTATTCAGGGTAAACCAAACTAAAAGTTTTCAGGACAGTTCCACTAAGGTCTAAGAAAGAACATTTAATCAAATTCGCTATTACTAGAAGATACACTGACGGACAAATCAAAAGAAAACTATGGTCCTTAAAATATTTTCGAAAGTGTCTACACTATTATTTTATACTGCAGTCGTGCTAATATATCTAAAGACTTAAGTTTCATCATGAAATAGAGAAGTGTTAAAATTACAACAATATTGGGGGCTCGTTTAAAAGCATTAAATTTATGCTAAGAGTGCACAAGTTGGAAACACACACGTGAGTTGTTATGGAGTGTGTTGGGGGCTTAGCAAGGTGTTTAAGGAGCGTGCTAATAAAAAGCAGGTTTGGGACTCACCAAGGGGTGTTGCAGGTGTGTGTCAGGGTGAGGTATCGTGCCCCTAGCTGGTACAGCATCCTCAGCACCCCAAGACTTGTGCCTATGGCGTGACCACCCTCTACTCCGATGAGGCTGGCTAGTAAGCCGGATTCGTGAGCCCTCTCGATACCTGATACAGAGAAATAAAACAAGGTTGATGTTAAAAATATACTAATCATTATTTAAGGACTCATAAAACCGGTTGAAATTTCGACGGAAAATTTTTGATCACACTAAGAAGAAAATTCTTTGTAACAATCCAAAATCTTTTGTCTGTAAGAACAAAGAACAAATATGCCACCAATTTCACACTAAGGAATAGTAGTTTTTAGAGATTTCTGTTTTTAATACACTTTAGGGAGACTGGGGTATATCTGGAAAAAAACCTGAAGACGAAGGCAGAATCAAGTCTCCGAAACATTGTTTTGGAATATAAACAGGACGGTGTTTTTAGACAAAAACATGACGATGGATAATGTCCAGAAACACAATATTCGTATTAATATACCATCATCACATACTTTTAGTTCTTAAGTACTCTTCAGTTGGACGCGTCGTTGTCTAAGCGGTCGTGTCTTATCAATAGAAGTAGACATTTACGTATTTATCTCCAGAAGTTGTTTCAAAACAATGAAATATTAACAGGACGCTGGATAATGCCCAGAAAGTAAATCATTGCGACTTATTCTCCATTTCAATATCAGAGTCTGAAATTTTGTCAAATACATTAAATGAATTACTGGGCATTTTTCAAGGATACGCAAGTTTCTCTTCCTTCTTGGGGAGAAGGCAGTCGCTGACTGGAAAGACCGCTGTCCTGTGGACACGTCGCTATGTCCCTCAATCAAATTAAGGTGTGTCGGTCACCAACTTCCATCACAGAATTCTCACATAAGCTCCACACACACAACTTACTTTCTACAGTGAGCTCCAAGCTCCGGTACGTGTTCTGCAAACACAAGAGCATTTGATTGGCTGTGTGAGACTTGTATATGAATACCGACTTCGAACAAGTTTGTCTAGCTTTTGACTTGGGTTATGGAGTCGCTTGATTCGAATCTCAGATAACGTGAGTAAGATTTTTCGGGTTTTCCTCAGTCCCTCCAAGTGAATGTCTGGATAGTACAGCGATTAGGCCATGCTTCCTTCCTTCCAGATCCTTTCCAATTCATTTATCAATCGTCCTACTGTCCGAAGGTACATAATCTAGATATCGAGAGCGTCATGAAATAAATAAGCAAGAAACACATAATTACTATACTTTAAATTATAATCACACAATCAAATAACTAACTTTATTTATATTTAAACGGTTGCATTCCGTTATGTTAGATATAAATCGGTAGCTTAGCTGGTTGAGGCACTACGCTACAAGTAGGAAGGTCGCGGGTTCGAGTCCCGATGAGATGGATTCTTTCAATTGACCCCAATCATTCCAGCTACACTATGGCCCTGGAGTCTACTCAGCCTCTAACAGAAATAAGTATCAGGAATCTTCCTGGGGGTAAAGGGCGACCGGCGCGTAAGGCTGACAACATTACCGCCATCTGTTAACAAATTGAAGAATGCAGTCTTCTGGGATTTGGCACCGTGTATATGTGGTGTTAACCGACGTTTCGGAGGAACGTATCGCCCCCATCTTCAGGGTTGAAGAAAAAGTATAAGTAAATCTGCAAGCGACAACACCGTGAGACACGATAAAGCAGACTGCTTTATCGTGTCTCACGGTGTTGTCGCTTGCAGATTTACTTATACTTTTTCTTCAACCCTGAAGATGGGGGCGATACGTTCCTCCGAAACGTCGGTTAACACCACATATACACGGTGCCAAATCCCAGAAGACTGCATTCTTCATAGTCACCGCCGTGAAAGCCTCAAATCTTACATAGTGTTAACAAATTGTCTAGATAATGTGGGACCCTCAACATCTCACAACCCTATGGGCCTTCACGGCCTGTTACAGGGATAGCTTTACTTTACTTTACTTCCTTTATGTATAAACAACTAAAAATCGAAATATTTTCAATTACACCTCGGGCTCGGGTTAAGCGGTAGCCAGGTTACAGCCTTCACCACCCGGAGAGGCAGTTCCGTTGACATTCTCAAACATTAATTTTACTGCAAACAAATAAGAAAATCAGATACAATTTTTAATTTTTGGAGATGCCTATTTTTTTTGTAGGTGATATTATATCTCGTCGATTACAGAGGTTCCACTGTACATCATACAAGCTCAGTGAAACAAAGATATTTGTAATAATTAAAGAAACATTTGTTTCGACATAAATCTTACTCCAACATCAGACATATTCAATATAACATGTAGATATGATGTTTTACATGTTTCTGTTGACGCACGCGGTAGCGCAGTTGGTTAAGGCACTACGCTACAAGTCTGAAGGTCACGGGTTCCATTCCCGATGAGGTCATTGGATTTTTCAATTGACCTAATCCTTCCAGCCGTACAATGACCTTGGGGTCGATTCGGTCTCTAAGAGAAACGAGTACCAGGAATCTTCCTAGAGGTAAAACGTGGTCGGCGCGTAAGGCTGACAACCTCACTGCCATCTGTGAGCCGATTCTATAGTAAATGTGCGAGCCTCGACGTCTCATAACCTTAAGTTTTTTGGTACATATTTCTGATTAGTGTTGCCTATGGGCACAATTAGTTGTGTATTTTGCTTGGTCTGTTATTAGAAGTTAAAAAATACATGTGAAGTGTCTGTTAACATTGATTATGTAAAATAGAAGAGATTCCACAAATGAGTTGATGTTTTATAGACTCTCTACGTGAATGTTTTCTGCAACAAAAGAAACTAAATTACCTGGTAACTGGGAGCTGACACTGAGCTAACTGAAGGCTGAATTCTGCGTAATTCCGCTGTACTATTTTGTATTGGTGATGCTTATGATAGGTGATTTAGGCCTGACTACAGGATAACTGCTGATTAAAGTAATGTGTTGTGTATTCTTGCCGTATAACAGGACTCTAAACATGTTAACATTTGAATAATTACTGACAAAAATATTATTTAAATGAGTTTTAAACATATAGTTATATCTTATTTCCCGTTAAAGACCTTTTGTTCAGCCGTTGATAATTATTTGGTTGATCAAGAATTGACATGAAGATGGAAGCAGAATGTTCATCCTAAATATCTGTAAATCTGTACCAGACTACACAACGCCTCACATCCCAGAATGTGATACTCTTCACAGCCACAGCTATGAGGACCTCAAATTCTACAAAGAAATAAACTTTAATTAATTCGAAGGATACATGTAAGCACAATATTCATCCAATCTACGCAGGACCTGTCTCCACAGAACATTACCGGCGTTTTAACAGAACCTGAAGTTTCGTAGCCGTGTTCACAAACACGTGCTTGGTGCTTTGTGCAATATTTTTCAACAGACTTCTTTATGGTGAGGAGTCGTGAACCCACGCCAAGCCGTCTTGGTGGGAGGACCACCACTTGTAAGCTGTCCGTGATCATATTTTCCCATCTGCCCTCAATATCTGGAGACTGTCTCCTCCAGACGTCACCCCAGAAAGCGTCATGCCGTAGTGACAAGGAACCTATTTAACACGGAGTCTACGAGAGAGAACTCCAATAAAATCCCAACACTAAAGAGATATATTTTGCGATTCATGCAAAAACGCCTCTATGTTTAAAGCAGGTGAACTTTCGAAATAAACTGTACCTTCAAGTAAAAGATCTTAACTAAATGAACAGCAGTTTATTCTTGAAAAATGATACTGATGTTCTTCTTGAGAAGCTAACAGTTGTTCATCTACTAAAAATTCTAACATTTTATGGAACCGGAAATGATTTTTTACTTTATTATCAACCATTGATACTTATCCTGAGCCAGGTGAATGTAATCATTACCCTTCCATCTTCTTTAAGATACATTTTAATATTATCTTCTCATCTACACCTAGAGCTTCTTAATGTTATATTTTCTTCATGCACTCCCATTACGACTTTCTACATATTCCATTCTCTCCCGTTTTTACTATATACATCTCATCTCTGTTACATCAGTCACAATTTCGAGCAGATTCTAAAGGGTTCTGACGATGGTGCATAATACTCAGAACTACTGGCGTTTTGGACTTTGTCCATTGTCCTGTATTCTAGAAACTAGAAAACAAAACGTTTTGGAAACAGATGCACTCTCCGAAACGTTGTTTCCTGTTTTCTAGAATACCGGATGATGGGCGAAATCCAAAAACCCAGTAGTTCTGAGTCACAATTTTATTTAACCTGCCCGCTTGTTCCATCATCTATGGTTCATTCACAGCTTTCATAAAATGACAGTTTACCTTCTGTAGTTGTAACCAAGGTCATGTACGTGGGATACTTCGCTACCAGCCGTCGGATGACGTCAATTTGTTCTAACGCTAGTTGCACCGCATCCAGATGCTGGGTCGAACATGGAACATAGGCCGACCAGAACTGCAACATGGAGAAAATCACGTGGTACGTCTCAAATATGTTATTTAGAGATGCTGCATCAACTGAAAATATAAGAAATTGAGATGAGTGATGGTATTAATATCTGGATAGGTACAGTGACAAGTCATGCGGGCGCACTAAGGCACAGAATCCCCCTTCTTCCTCTAGAATGTATAAGTCCGGGTCACAGCTGCCCTGTCTAGTAGACTTAACTGCATTTGAGATGTGTCCGGGGTTGAATCTTGGACAAGTTAACCGTTCTTCCGATAATTTTTATGCATTAACCTCAGTATATCTATAGGTGGATGCTTCTATCGTACCTTCAAACAAACCAAGCAAGGTGGCTCAAGCGGTAACGAATCCTATGGATCACTACAAAAACTGTAATTTACGTGACATAACTATTTTTTTCATTCTTTTAAACAATGTGATGGGGCTCGGTTTAACATTTATGTAAAATAATAAAACTCTACCGACTAATATACAATTCACCTGGTTACTTTTAGTGTGTAACTAATATAATTTTCTTTTACTGACCCTACAGCCCCTTCGGGCCCTGGTCTCTGATTTTCAGTTTCATGATCATTTTACAGACGGTAGGACTCCCTGGACGAGTGATCAGCTCGTCGCAAGACCCCTACCTAAACATAGGACAACACAAACACATACATTTACCGAACATCCATGCCTTGTGTGGAATTCGAAACCATGATCCCGGCTTCCGAGCGAGCGATGAAAACACATTCCTTAAACCGTTCGGCTACGGCGACCGGAATAACCAATACCATATTTAATCGAAATTAATTTTGGAGAAAGTATATGTTAATATTCAGGGAGACACATATTATGTTACCGTATGTGTCACCCAGTACTTCTTTTGTAAAGGTAACCAAAGCATGAGAGATTAATCAGAGTAATTCCTTCTATGTACCATGAGTTTTATAAGCATCGGAGCCATATGCGTATTAAAGTACAAGATCATAACAACTTGATGGGAAGAAAGTCTAAGGCAGAAGAATCAGGCTGAGTTCCTAAAAATGAAACCACCCTGTATAAACGTCACACAGTGAGAAGTGATACCGTTAGAGGACCTGAGTGAGATTTATCAAGGATGCGGGCGACACCATTATTCTCAGTTGTCAAACATTACTGCAGACGCCGATCTGTCGAGACACTGGCTCGACCCCAGTCCACACACACTTGACTTGCAAGTAGTGTGAACTCTCTTAGTAAACAAGTGTCAGGTTAGATGAAGCGATGCTGGACGTGAGGAGAATGACCACCAGGTCCAGGGCAATTCAGTGCATTTGTTGGCATTGAAACATCTTGCAGAAAGGATTTGCTAGGATTTCATTCAGTTCTTCGAATGTAGAAAGGTTATTCTGTTATAAATGTATAACTGAAATCCATTTCTTTGTTACATGGTTTTCTTTTAAATGAAATTGTCGCTTTAGATTTTAATGGCTATATCTCCATACATTGTAGAATAGAAAAAAATGCACGAGTTCTCTATTTTAAACGCGAAGACTTAAACATTGGAGAAAGGGCCAAAGAGAACTGATTTTTTTAATAATATCTATTCTGATTTTACTCAATTGAATCATGGATATACAACTTATACCGTAACCATATGGAGCTGAGTCCTTCCTGAGAAGCCGCCAGTCGCTCAGCTACTCAAGAATTTCCTCAAAATTTATGGAACCCGAAGGTTCATTACCTTGTTCACAACAACCCTCGACTGGTCCCTATCCTGAGCCAATTCAATCCAGTCCACACCACTCCATCCTATCTCTACAAGACCCATTTCAATATTGTCCTCCCATCTACTTCTATGCTTTTCCAGTAGTTCCCTTCCTTCTGGCTTTCCCACCACAATCATTCAAGTAGTCTTCTTCTCATCGATGCGTACTACACACCCTACACATTTAATCCCCGTTAACTTAATCATTCTATTTATACTTGGAGAAGAGTACAAGTTATGAAGCTCCTCATTAAGCAGTTTTCTCCATTCTCCTGTAATTTAATTCCTCTTTGGTCCAAATATTTTCTTCAGCACCCTTTTCTCAATCACCCTAAGTCTATGTCCCCCCATAATGTCAGAGATCATGCTTCACACTCATACAAAACCACAGGCAAAATTACAATTTCGTGTATTGTGATTTTTACGTTTTTAGACAGCAGGCGAGAATACAAATAAACACATGAATATACATGTACACACATATATCGGTGTGTGCATGTGTGTGTGTGTATCTGTGGGTGTGCAACTCTTGTCTTGGTTTCTGGTTTCTCCGTTTCCCGTATCCGTCCGTGGAACCTCTTACCATACCTGGGGGTTGCCACTACCGTTAAAATGATGCGCAATCTTTCAGGGGAGTATCAGAGGAGATATCCACATTCTCCAACCCTTTTTTAACTATTTAGTAAATTTTAATGTCTTGATTTGACTGTTTCAACGTTTTAACTGTTACGTATCAAGTTATTGTCAAGTAAAGTAACTATACCTTGAGCGAAGTAAGAGCATTTCTCTTTGTTACCTTATTCAAGGAGGGAAATGTTGAGTTTTAAGAATAATTTCTTCCTGAACGTCTAACCTCAATACCCTAGAATAGTTCCGGAAAGACAACTACACTTTTACTTGACGGAACAGCAATATGTACTGTGAAGAAATATTTTCGGCAGAGATCCCCATGAAAACAGACATATTCAAAATTACATAACCTCTTTTCTCTTCAACACAGATTGACTTTTACTACGCATTATCGGCGCTTGGATGATATGGGTATCAGATACAAAATGAAGACTGATACATATCAGTCTAATAACTATCATTTTGACGTTTCCACAATATACTCGTGTTTTATCACGTATATTTCATGATCTTCTCTAATATAACGCATATTAACTGCATTGTTGACTGAATCGTTGGTACTTCTCAGAGTCGCCTAGCGATCCTCTCCATAACTACCAGCAATGATTGGGGCATAAGGACAAAAGTGTATAAAGCAGGGCTTTTATACTATATGCATTTATACGGTGAGTACCTTACCCATAATGAGATTTGGGACAGACTGTACGAACTATATTTGGATGCTCAAGGCATTTCACAGTTCAATAAAATAAACCTGGTAGGTAGCTTATAAAACAAAGATAAACACAAAGTCAATGTATTTGCTTGCAACTGTGTTGTTAAGATTTCCGTATGTTACTCACGAATTCTTGTTTTCGTGTTTTCCTGTTCGGATAGCGTTACAGACTGCTGGACACTACAGTAGGGGAGTACTCCTGGCACTCGCGGAGAAATCAATCGTACTGCCAGCATGAAACTAGCTTAATAACTAAAGTTTTGTTACTCTGGGGCTTCAGCAGTCAATCTCGTTTCTGTGTAATTTCTTAATCAACTCCAAGTACAGCCTACAGATTGACAGCAAGCGTGAAAGCGCTGTGGTACCACTGAGATATGAAGCTGATCTCATGCAAATCAACATGTATGAGAAGACATCAGAGAAAAAGGAAAAGGTACTTTGATGAACGAACAAAAACTAAAACAAACTCCGTGATTTTAGTCCGCAAGCGAATCATACCGACCGAGCGACCGCCGCTTGTTGGCGAAGTTTGGTGTCAAATTTACGGATAGAGGGTGTTGCGCGGTCGGCGCAACGGATATTCACGGCCGTTAATTTCGGTTTTCTAGACCGGAGCCTCTATTTCCTTGAAATAGCTCCTCAATTAACATCACAAGGCTGAGTGGACCCCGTTCCAGACCCACTTCTTCTCAGAAAAAATCTGGTAGGGCCGGGATCGAACCCGGACCTCTGGATCTGCAGCCAGGAACGCTGACCACTAGACCACAAAGGGAATTTAGATCGAAATTTGAAATCGACATATTTTGGTACAATAGTAAGAAATATAGATGATGACATGGTAAAATTAAGACAAGAAAAGCTGTGAATTCTTATTAGTTATTATTATTTTCTTCGTAGAAGTGTTACCCCATTTAGTATATTTGCTAGTTTCTTCATGTTGTCCATGAAGATGGAAGAGATATTTTCCCCCAAAACGACAGAATTCCAGAAGACAGAATTTGTCACCGGTGTGAGAATCTCAAATCATATAATTTAGAAGAAAGATACAAATATCGCAACCGTTCCCTTCAGTTTCGTTATTCTGAAAACTGTAAGATTTGCGGGAAGCATTTCATGTTTCAATTTTCTTACATTTTTTTCGAAGTATTTTTCGCTCCGACAAAACATGTATCGAGTTATGCTCGAAATATATGCACAGACGCACGTAGCTCTTCATGTAAAATGTCTTTTGTTGTCTGGCTTTAGTAAGAAAGGTAAGGTTCTTAAAATAAGATTAAATTCAGAGAGTTTAATAAGATTATGCGTTGTTCCAAATTGATACTACAATGTACATACAACGATCTTAATATGTAGACTTGTTTCTACTTTCTTTCTGCTAACACTTCAAAAAGAAAAAGGGGAAATGATCGTATGAATACTTTGTAGAAGAAATTGAATCCTTCTGTATCCTGAACGAAATAATCTTGAAACTTGCACAAGGGATTCAATAAGGATAAGTGGAAACTCACTCAGACATAGAATAAATATTACACTACATCTGTGAGAATATCCAGAGAAGACGTGGCCCTAGGAAGCCTGCCTGTCCCGCTCTTGCTCCAATTAATGGCAGCAGGGACAACAGAACAGTTATAAATTTCCTGCGGCAAATAGAAGAGGAATATTTTCATCCTTTGATTCAAAATGCCCAGAAGGGTTTTAATTTCAATTTTCACATCGTAAAAAGATTTACTTCGTTATTATTTTGTTTTATTGTACTTTATGGCAAAATTATTGGCATTTGTAGCCAGAAACAAAGTTTTCTCCGGAATTGGGTTTGTTTATACCAAACACAATTAAGAGTAAGAGCTTTCGCTTCTCTTGAAGTGGCTAACGCATTTTCAGTTAAGCAGAAAATGATTTTACGTATTAAAATAC